AGATGTGTATAAGAGACAATATATATATATATATATTCTATTAGATAGCTAAGACAAAAAACATTGTATCGGATGGAACTTATATTGATGAATAAATTCACCTGTTATTGTACAGTACTTCCCTTTACTAGACAAGGCTTTATCAATTTATTATCTCACTCCAATTGTCTCTTCTAACTGCAGTATTATATATATTTCAATAATTTGCAATGTATTGGTTTGTGAATTGGGATGTATGCACTGTTTGCAGTATTAGACTGGATTTTGAACACCCTTCACGTTTATACAAAAATTACTATAAATATCATTGTTACTATTAATATTATTTATTTTATGTATCATTTAAGCAGCAGTTTTGTACATTGTCTTAAACTTTCTGGCAATTATCATAACTCAGAGGATCAATACCAATTATATTTAATGAAAAAAATAACCCACAAAGAAAAAGATTTCTGGTTAAAAAGAAAAATGGAGCTAACATGTATTGATTGACCTACCTAAGACCACGACAAAATAAACTCCTCTACTTGATGTGCAGCATCTAGACGAGGGTGATCAGCCGCCAACAGACAGCTACTTGCCAGTGCAATAACATTAGACTTTAAGCCCAATGCAATGAAGTATTTTTAAATTATTATAAATTTCATAATTACCTGTCATATTATTATCCTTGATGTCGTCAGATATTCTGTTTGGCAGAGCAATTGACACATTGGCAGCATCAGGTATTTTGACACCATCGGCAAGTACCTCAACAGCACCTACACTATTCTCATTTGATTCCGATATAAAACTTATGTAAGTCATGTCTTCTTCACTAACTTGAGCTGCATCAAAACTCCGAGCCTGTACTGCTAAATTATGTGTCATTTCTTCATAAATTCCTTCATTATTTAGCTCTACTTTACCCAGTTGATCTTCAAGCACTTCAACAATCTTAGTAGGAGTCTGATCCTGTGTTTGACTTTCCATTAAAATTTCCTCGTCAACATCAAGTAAGTTATTTACTACCATAACAATATATTGTGTCACCTAAGAGAAAATTAAATCAAAATCTATCTATAGTTAGTTTAGAATGACTATAATACGATTAATAAATACCACAAAAAAAAAACCAAAAAAAAAAACAATGCTAAAACCGGTAGTCACAGTGTGGGTGCATAAAACAATAAACAAATTATATATATATATATATACAGGGCTTGCCCTAACTTTTTTTGGTAACTATAGCCCACTGGGCTAGTTTACTAGAGATTTTACTAGCCCACAAAATATTTTACTAGCCCACAGACAGGAAAAAAATTTGTTTCAAAATATTTATTAGCGACAATTAAATTTGAAGGTTGATTTGAAATTTCATAATTTCTGTAGCATTGCTGTTTGAGCTACCCTCTCAATTGTTGAATAAATAAATAAAAAAATCACCCATGCTGCAAAATCGACTCTGGTTATAACAGGGACAGACTGTCTCTTATACACATCTAGATGTGTATAAGAGACATCTCCCTGGTTATAACTTTGGCTTTCTAATATTTAATAAAGGGCCCAGAAATCAATCAATCCAATGCATCTGTTAAATCTTCAGGTCTCAAACACTCACCCCCAATGGTAATAAATCTTGCTTAGGCTACCTAGGCCTAGACAAGACCTAGGGCCTAGACTAGCCTACCTATAGCATTGAAGTACTTATTATTAAAAGTTGAACATTTTAAAAATATCATTATGAGAAAATAATATGAATAAGGTAGTACATTAAATTAAATGTTCTAACTACCTAACTTAACCAGATTGAACGATCAAACGATCTTCTATTGAGAGAAAGATAACATGCCATCCTGTAGTGGTTGGTGAATGACTTGAGGATCATCTTAATAATTAAACACTCACGCATGTGGAGAGCTGAAAGCTAGCTAGAGTGTACTCTCTGGGCTGCGGTACCTCTTGTGCAGGGATTGTCTCAAAAGTTCCGCTTTTTTTAAATTTTTTTTAAGAAAATGTTTTTCTTGCTAATTCTCCACTAGACAACCGGGCAACATGAGGAGTAAATAGGCTAGCCCGGAGCGGTTTTTACTAGACATTGTACGCCTGGCTAGTACTAAATCGAGCCCTGATAGATATATATATATATATATATAT